GCAGCACACGGTGCGATCGCGCGACCCTGCCTGTGAGCAACCCAACTCATCTCTGGTATAAATCAAATTAACGTTCTCTTAAATTCTCAATGTTCCCGGTAACTTACGGTATGTTTCACAGTTACCTTCTGCAATTTAATGTTACTGAGAATTTTAGAACTCTAGGCATACCTCGAATATAGAACTTTCATGTAAATTCAGTACTCTTACTTACCGATGGAACTTTCAACGACGAATTCCGAATTCCAACCGTGGAAACAACTGATGAGAAGTCTAGTTCACCAGAAACATCAATAGATGGTAGACTCGTAGATAAATTCAAAAGGGTAGGCAATTAACGATTTGAGTGCAGAAATAATTGACGAATATTATCTCAATGATGCCGTGACCAAATGATTGCTAGCGTGGCATTCAATATGTTAATAATAATCCCAGTTGATGGTTTGATACAAATGATTAAAAACCCACGATCTTCCAGTGCCAGCTGCATATACTTTTCCACGAAAGAAATAGAATCAAGAGCTTGAATTTTCCTTCATTTTAACTGTCTCTACTCACGTTATATTAAAAATTTAACGGTATATCGTTTAGGGCACGTCCTTCCCGCAAACGTTATCGTTAACAACCGTTATAATGAAATAATCTAAGAGTGAAACTAATCCCTGTATCAAAAACTTGATTTCAATCAATGACATATCAGTACCCTCGGAAAAGGTGCGCGGGTCGTGAAATTATATCCTTTAGCTGTAAGACATCGAAAATGCATCGTAGATCATATATTAACTTTACATGTTCTTTTTTTCTTGCGTCTTCTAGTTCTATGATTTGTATATAAAAGGATTTGTTCGCAGATCCGCTGAAATGGCGCCGTTGGGTCCCTCGAGCCGTACTTTTGGCTCAAGACGCTTTTAAGGTGAAGTGAAACCCCCTTCAAATCAGTTGATTCGAATACAATACTTTTTTTTAAAGGGTATTGGACCAAACTGTCCGAAAGTTTGACACATCACTCCTGATCATCTAAGAATTGTCCTGACACATTCAAAATTTGGATTTAAAAAAAAAATGTTTTAACTTAGCCCAGACCAGAATTAAAATGGCGTCGAGCTCTCATATTTCGATCAATATACAATACACGAACGTAGGCATTTAGAAAAATCTTCTTTATCGACGTCGATCAAGTTCCTCGACGTGTTTCACTTCACGTTAAGGTGAAGTGAAACATCCTTCAAATCAGTCGATTCGAATACAATACTTTTTTTTAAAGGGTATTGGACCAAACTGTCCGAAACTTTGACACATCACTCCTGATCATCTAATAATTGTCCTGACACATTCAAAATTTGGATTTTTTAAAAAAATTGTTTAACTCAGTCCAAACCAGAATCAAAATGGCGTCGAGCTCTCATATTTCGATCAATATACAATTATCGAAGGCTCTGATATCAGAATCGAAAGGGTCAGGACAATTTTACGACAATTTAGAACACTCTGGTAATCGATAAACTCGCATTTGAACGGGACAAAGGCAAAAAATGTGTTGTATGCGTTTCTATGCTAAAACTATGGGAATACGAGGTCTCGGAGTGAAAATTTAATTGACCTGGAAATCACAGATGGCGCAGGGAGTCCCTCTGCAGTCAATTAGGGCCCCAGAAAGCATGAATCCAGAGGATTTCTGGAGTTTTACTCCGATTTCCTTATAATTATTGTACGAAAATGACAGGTGGAGTATGCCATTTGGTACAATACCCAATATAATTCGACCCAGCTGTCAATATAAAAACGAACGTCGGCAACGTAGGCATTTAGAAAAATCTTCTTTATCGACGTCAATCAAGTTCCTCGACGTGTTTCACTTCACGTTAAACGTTACGACAACGTACGAGTAGGCATTCGCTAATCCCACGGAAAATGATAAGCGACGTAAACTGTGTTCGGCATAAATGGATTTTATTTTATTTTATTTCTTGTTTCATCACACTGAGAGAGAAAGATTGGCTTGATGCGAGACAATAAATAAAATCGTAATACCATTTGTCGCGTATTATTGCTAGACATGGGGTATGAATGGATTCACTATCTCTTTTATCTTCGAGTGGCTATTGGCGAAGTGTCCTCCATGTCGACGGCATCGCACGTGTTCCGACAAAACAATGAATATTCCCGCCTCGTCCAAGGGCGAGGCTCGCTGAGCCGTCAAACAAATGTCGGACACCAATCGCAATCGAGTGGTCGGTAAGACGTGCCCTAATTCTTGCAAATTAGGACCTCCCGCTATGGCGAATCTCGCAGCCCTACGTTCTTTCTCGGGGAACTTCACCTGCATACACGTTAACGGCGGTTGCCTTTCAACTAGAGTAGAGAAATAGTCGGTTGCTTTTGTGTCGCTCTTTAGTGCCTATACGCGGGTAACTCCCTATACAATATGTAAACGTTAAGCCGCCGCACCGTCGCCGAGAGAGATGTGCAACGAATTCTGTACAGGCATTCACGCTCTCGCCGAATTCTCGCTTTTGTGCGTTAACAAAATGAAAAGTTGAGGCGAGGCGACGCGCCATCCTCTCCCCAGGTCCCAGAATAATCTTCGGGATAGATCTTTAGTTCGTTAATACGTTAGACGCCATGCCGATTTTACGTGCAGTTCCGCTCACGCCACAGTTAGCCGTCAAGTATGGGCCTTTCCGGGCCGCTCGCCGATAGGTGCAAGTACGCAAGGACCGACACGCGCGCGGCGATAACAAGAACGAAAAGTCTGCCACTGGTCCGTACGGACCGGCGAGGCCTGAACTAGGGATGTTCGATTCTCTTAGAAAAACCGATTCCTGAATCGATTCTCTTAAAAATCGGAATCCAAAGAATCGATTCCAAAAATCAGAAATTTGTTATATATAATTAACACAAATTTAATTAATACATTTTTACGTGTCGAAAGCCATCCATGAAAATGAAATGAATGTTGTATAAAAAAACTAAACAATTATTAGCCGTTTATATAGCAGTTATACGTCTTCTCTAGCTTTCCCTTTGCCAATCTTGTCGTAGCGACAAACAGCAACCAATGAGCGAATCGAATTTCTCCCATCTACCGTTTCAGTAAAAAAAAATCGGATTCTCGATTCTGAGGGTAAAGAATTGATTCTCAAGAAAATCGAATAGTAAAGAATCGATTCTAAAAATCGATTCTTTCACCAAAAGAATCGATTTTTTAAAGAATCGAATCGGAATCGAACATCCCTAGCCTGAACGGAAAGTCTAGCGCCGGCCCCTAGGGACCGACGTGGCGTTTAACGTATTAAGGTGAAGTGAAACCTCCTTCAAATCAGTCGATTCCAATACAACACTTTTTTTTTAAGGGTATTGGACCAAACTGCCCGAAACTTTGACACATGACTTCGTGATCATCTAAGAATTGTCCTGATACTTTCAAAATTTGGATTTTAGGACAAAATTTTTTAACTTAGCCCAGACCAGAACCAAAATGGCGTCGAACTCTCATATTTTGATCAATATACAATTATCGAAGGCTCTCATATGAGAAACGAAAGGGTCAGGACAATTGTACGACAATTTAAAACACTCTGGTAATCGAGAAACTCGCACTTGAACGGGATAAAGGTAAAAAAAGTGTTGTATGCGCTTCTATGCTAAAGCGACGGGAATACGAGGTCTTAGCGTGAAAATTTAGGTGACCTGGAAATCACAGATGGCGCAGGGGGTCCCTCTGCAGTCAATTAGGGCCCCAGAAAGCACGAATCCAGAGGATTTCTAGAGATTTATTTCGGTTCCTTTATAATTATTGTACGAAAACGACAGGTGGAGTATGCCATTTAGTGCAATACCCAATGTAATTCGATCAAGCTGTCAATATTAAAATGAACGTCGGCAACGTAGGTATTTAGACAAATTTTCTTTATCGACATCGATCAAGTTTCTCGACGTGTTTCACTTCACCTTAAATTGAACACAATTTCCTTCAGGGCGTTTCTAAATAAGAGGAGAAACGAAAGGATATGTAAGACTATACGAGACCAACTGCTACGTCGATTAACCAAGGAAATAATGTACCATCTTTTCAGATCAGTATTTGGATGAGGATCCGAAGCTTCCTAAGGTGCATCTTCGGATCCAGAAAATAATTTCTTGGCTCCGTACATAAATTTCTATAAAATATCAGACGCTAAACTAACTCAAACGTTTCCTGCAACGAACAGTGCCATCTTGAATTTCCAGGCGATTTAATGAAATATTTTCAGCCAATCTTAATGTTACCTCCTCGATGCATCCAATTCAAATGTAAATTCAGTCCTCTTGATCCAAACGTTAACCGTTCTGGGGTGAGTCGCTTGAAATCATTTCCAAAAACTATGATCGCGGTACAGTGAACAAGTAAACGGTCGATTTAATGTGATTTTATTTATCGTCCCTTAAATTTCAGAAACCTTAACGCTAACGAAAGAAATGCGACGCTTCTTCTTGTTTAGTTAAAGAACCGTAAGTAAACGGGAAGCTATCTAATCCTTGAACGACACGAAAGGAAAGATAGAAAACTCTTAGATTTCCCTTTTCGACCTGGAGACGTCGGCGCGTACCTTCCTCGTACGTCGCCTTGTGCTCGCGGCATTTATCGTTAATCGTATGTATAATTATGTATAGGTCTCACTGTTTCTTCGTGTCTACGCAAATCACACCCTTAGCCACTGTCCTATTAACAGGTCTCTCAAAACTCCTGTAGGTCTCGCGTTACTGTACAAATGAGAGGCATCGTCGACCCGAGCACTTGCCTCTCCGTTCGCTCGCGAAGACGAGTCTTCGTCGTCCCCTGGACTTCTTCATGGCGGGCCACGTGGACGTTACGATTCCAGTATTGTATGTACAATTGCGAGGAACCCTTGACATATAAACCGCTATAGTTCTCGCAGCTCGGATTCGCGTGGTTTCGTGGAAATGTACAGAACGCCGCGAAGTTAATAGATCACTTCGTAGACGGTGGCTTTCTTGTCCCCGGAGCCGGTCACGATGTACTTGTCGTCGGTCGAGATGTCGCAGCTCAGCACCGACGAGGGTTCCTTCAGCTGGGGGAAAACCATTGGTTAACTTACAAGTCTCCTCCGGCAAGAAGAAAAAACTGACCCTAGGGGATTATCTGACATAATGGGACCCTTGGTCGCGGACAAATTTGCAACCGCATCCTGTAAAGATCGATTCGGACCATCCGACACGTACCGGTGCCGACCCGACAAAACATTGTAGCATGCATTTCAACGAAACCTCTCACCCTATACGCAGGTCGTACAACGTGAAAAGAGCCACTGAAACGGCCGTTGCAATATTTTATCGGATCGGCACCCGGAACGGGGGAATCAACCTCAAGTTTCACCCCATAAAGGGTTGCAACTTCGCCCCGCAACGCAACGTACGGGAAGAATGTCCGACGGTTGCAAGTTCGTTTGCGGCCTAACCCGTCTAATAGAAAACGGTAGTGGTCAGCCAGATGATCGAAACCATGGATCTATGAAGAGACGAAGAGAATAAAGTGAGGTTTCTGACGAGGGGACCAAACCTCGAAACGTAAGAGGGACTACAGCAGCCATCTTATAGGGCTATGCCACGTACGCAACTCTTGTATTCCTAACAACGGCAACCAAAGTGGGCGTATAGCGCCCTTTTTCAAGTACGATGAAGTAAGGGCGTGAAATTGTGTGGTACGCTGTTTTTAAGGACACCAAAATTGCAAATGACCCGAGCGGTTACCGAGTAGCTACTTGGAAATATCTTTGTTCCCTTTCAAAAGGCGCGATCACTGGCAGGGGAGGATGGCCACCCCCTGCCGTCCCCCTACACGTCTCGAGCTTTCCCAGCGAAGAGATTCCCCCGTCCATCTCCTCGTGGATCCATGGTCAGGACGAAGAGCGAGAAAAGCCCACCTGGAAAATGGAGGCACCATAGGGCGTGCGCCACGCGTTGAGCAGATTGTCCTTGCCAGTGGAGACGAACCACTTGCCGCAGGAGGCGAACCTGAGAGAGAGGACGCAGGACTCGTGGAGGTGCAGCTGATACTTGTCGGGCTTGGTGGCGTGAAGGACCTCGACGTTGGAGTTCTCCATGCCGACGGCGAGCCACTCGCCGGTGGGGCAGTACCCCAGGGAAAAGATCTGCGAGGTGAAGTCGTGCTGCTGGAGCTGCCGACCCTCCCGGAGGTCCCAGGAGCGGACCGTGTTGTCGAGGCCGCCGGTCCAGAGCTTGGACCCGTCGGCGGAGATGTCGATGCAGGAGGCGCCGTCCGTGTGGCCCTGGAACTGGCGCACCAGCGACTGGTTTTGGAGGTCCCAGACGGTGATGTTGCCGTCGCTGCAGCAGCTGAAGCAGACCTTGGAGTCCGGCGAGATGGCCAGGGCGTAGCAGGCGGGGGCCGAGGACGGGAGCTCGGCCTTTATGCGCGGGGTGGGTCCGGCCAGGTCCCAGATGCTCAGCTGGCTGGCCTCGCCTCCGACGATGAGCGTTCTGCCGTCGGGCAACAGCTTCACCGACCTGATGTAGTTGTCCCTCTGCAGGCAGTCCAGCTGAGAGACCGGCTTGCTGCTCCCGGTGCCGCCTTGCCCGATGTCCCAGACCTTGACGCAGCCCTTGCCCCCGGTGTAGACGTACTTGGTGGGGTTCGAGATCGTCACCGCGCACACCACCTCGCCGTGCGTCAGGGTGCTGATCTGCCGGGCGTGTCGGGGTATGCCTGGTCCGATCAGCGCGTCCGTGGGGAAGGGCACGGGCTGCAGCTGGCCGTCTCCGTTCATATGAAACGAGTACGGTCTGGAGAAAAAACGGAAAATGATTAGCTGCTTTTTACCCCTTATTTTGGCCCGCGTATTCGTTCCAAGACATTCGGCCAATTTTCTACATTTTGTGGTAGCGGTAGTCCTTTTTATTATTCTCGCGGACGTCCTCGGATCTTCTCAGGCGATCACGTATCCTAGGACTAACCGCGCCCAACTTTTCTTAACCAGTTAGCTGTGATTGACGAGTATACTCGTCATGAAAACACACGTTTCAAATAGGTCGACACAGTTAACTAGTTAAGGTGATATGAAAAGGTAATTCTATATATATATAAAACAAAACATTTATAAAACTTTTCTCTAAATTTAGTGCATCGAATCATTTGAAACCAACACATTATGGTGGTCCTAAGGAAAAATGTGGTGCTCGTGAAGTTTCATTTTTCAAGAAAAAAAATGTACTCTGATTCTAGTCTGGGCTAAATCAAAAAATGGTTCATCAAAAATAAAATTTCATGAGGACCACGTTCTGCCTTCGGGTCTCTATAATCACGTGCTAAAGTTTCCATCGATTCGGTGCATCCAGTTTGGAGAAAAGTTTTATAAACATTTTGACGTTTTAGATATATAGAATGACCTTTTTGTATCACGTTAAAGGTCGGTTTACCCGCGTCGATCCGTTCTGAACCAATTTAGTTCGTTATCGGTACCGTTCCGGTATCTTCGGTACGCGACTATTTACACTAGGTTTGTTCGTTTTGACTACACTTTCTACACTTTTACGAAAAGTGTACACTGGCGTTCGTTTTAACGGAAGTGACGCAGCGTCGCTGTTCGTTCTGCGAGGGCATCTACCCCGAGTGTACATTTTATCTACACTTTCTACCCTCGATCCCGAGCAAGGGCAAGAAGGGTAGCCCGCGAATTTGGCGGCAAATTTCAAAATTGAAAAGAGCAACAAACAGGAAAATACAAAATTTATGCTAACGTCTCAACGTAATATAAACAGAAGTAATCATTAATGCATCTTCTTCACGTATAGAACGATTTAGCGTTTTAGTTTTGTACATAATGTTTGAAACAATTTACAATAATTATGTATTACTACCTAACCGCGGTTGGAATGAACTAAACTATAATTTTTCCCTGTCGTAGTTAAATTGTTTTTCATTCCACTGCAATAACATTCTGACCCTTATTGATCCTCAATACCTGAAATTCGTGAAAGGAATTTTCATCTTCTACAATTACAAGGTAATAGAACGAATTGTAGGATTTGAAGAAAACGAAGACAGCTCAAGAAGGAAGGCTGGAGGAAGCATTACATTTTCGTATTCATCATCGTCCGATACGGATAACCTCAAAATCGCGTACCGCTCTACTAAATCGGTCATCTTGGACTTTCGTGAGGTTGCTGGCGTTCGAGACGTCGACGAAAGTGTATCTACCCTTCTGCATTTTTCAAGAAAAGTGTGGCACCCTCGTTACCCTCGAGGGTAGAAAGTGCAGTCAACGCGAACAAACCTCGTCCTATCCGTGAAAATATCGTCGTCGATGATAACTTACGATGAAACACCGAAGACCGAACGGACCATCACCAGACGGCACGAAACGGATATGGAAAGGTGGAAAGGCTTTCATTAGAAAACATTGTATCGTTTTTGATGATTTGAACGAGATTGATCCTGATACGACGGAACGGACGTGGGTAAAAGTCGACTTACCCCCGTCCAGTCCGTATCCGTTCCGTCTTCGTATTATACAGTAGCGGACATGAATGTTTTCTCTTCTTACCCTGGCAGTACCATACACTGAAAAAAATCCTTGGAAATTTACATACATTTTTACCCCCTACATAACTGGTTTTATGTAAAGAAAAAAAAAACGTAAATTGGAAAAATTACAAATCAGAAATTGTATAAATGACCGTGACATTGTGTACATTTACTGCATTACTGCATTTTTACGTGAATTAAGTGTAACGTTACATTGTAATTTTTCTTGTGGCATTTCATGTGGCATAAGACCTTTACCATGTATGTAAATCTACAGGTTACCTAGTCAATTTACGTATTAGTGCGGATAAATATACCCATCAAAACAAAATTTAAATTTACCCATACCCACACGTAAATTTACCCATTAACGCGGATAAATATACGCTGCTGGGTAAAAATACATATTAGGATATAAACTCAGCCAATGAAATTGCTTAAATTCAATCACGTGATTCCCACGCGTCTTCTCGTTTGAGAATAACGCCAACGCGTCATTAGTCGTTGCGGGCCTTTGGCCGGTGAAGGTTCAGGCAATCTCCGGAGCTGACTTGCCTCGATCCAGTGCTATCGAATTGACGCGAAAGAAGTAAGTACCTCCACAGAAAAGGGTCTTACAATTGTGGTTACATTTTCATGTAGAATATGTTTTAATAAGTTTACGTCTGGGTTCACATATGAGACCCATCAATATTATTACCGATTGGACGATTAAGCTTCAATTTACACACATGAGGTAGACCAATTATACGTTTTACATGTAAATTTACCCTTTGTACGTAATATTGCCCTTTATGTTTACATATCAAATGTCCGCCTATACAATACATTCTTTGAGTAAATTTAGATGTTGAATGTGATATTACCCAGAGAATGTAATTTTATTGTTATTGATTATGGCTTCAAAATATCCAATATCCCTAAATTTACACACATGACGTAGGACCGATTATACATTTTACATGTAATATTGCCCTTTATGTTTACATATCAAATATCCGCCTATACAATACATTATTTGGGTAAATTTAGATGTCGAATGTGATATTACCCAAAGAATGTAATTTTACTGTTATTAATTGTGGCTTCAAAATATCCAATGACCTAGGGTGTAAATGGACATGGGAATTTTTTTCAGTGTATTCACGAGGGAGGCATCCATGTTCTTCGGATATGGATCGAACGTGAGTAAATCGACCGTAAATCGATTTTAAGAGTTGATGAAAACGTTTGCTTAACCCTAGGGGTCAAATGTAACAATTTTTAGGGTTTCTGTTTCTGTAATCGATTGCAGTGGCTTATTACGATTGAAACATTGTATACTATTTGCATGCTCAACGCCACGACGGTCACCGTTGACCGACCCGCAATACATATTTAAAGTACGTATAATGCCTCATTTCCATATACACGGAAAGCACGCGGAATCGATGCGGAGCCCGCCACGCGGAATAATCTGTCTCCAAGACATTCCGCGTTCCGCGTCGATCCGCGCGCTTTTCTCCGCGCATTGAAATGCGGCATAACGCGCAATTACTTACTATTGAAAGATTATTATTTGTTCTGTATTTTTAAGAAAGTATAATAAATGAAGTGCATTGGGAGAGAATGTAACATTTTTACAGTGAGAAGAAATCGTTGATTTGAATCAAAGAAAATGATTTCTTTGAATAATGCTCATTTGGATGAAACATCGCTGTTTTGATAGAAAGAACATGTAATTACCCCGAAGAACAATTTGTTTTTAATACAAAGAAATGATATTACTCTGCGAATTTGTTTAAAATTGCAATATGTTTAATTGCAATAAATACGGTGGAATACTTTATTCGATGTATTGAAAGAAATTACTTTTTGGGTATGAAAACGTTTTAAAATGTTGGTATGAAAATTTAATTTCGTTGAATGGAGTTAAGGAAATGAAACGTACGGTTTCAATTTCTTACTTTATTATTGTAAGATATTAAGTATTCGATCAGTGCAATGCACTAGATTTAAACATTCGGCGCTTTTAAGCAAACACTATATTCCATTGATTTTATGCTACAGTTTCTTTAACTTCATTTCAAAAAATAATTTCTTTGTAAGAAGAAAACTTTTGTTCCCAGCGTATTTATTAAAATTTTATAAAGTTCACATCAACATATCACACTGAACCGTATTAAAACATATCAAGCAGTTCCGAGGGTTGCTAAAACAATTCTCACAGAAAATTGTTATCTTCTTTGTACGGTTTTCTTTGCAAATTTTTGTTCGAATCCCTTCGTATATTTGTCATAGTTAAACAATGAACTAATCTTTGTCAAGATGCCAACATTTTTATCCGATTGTTTAATATATCATAATGCATTACATATAGAGCAATGTATCACGCGTGTGCAATCCTGAAGTTGTATGGCTGAACAAGGAATGCTGAATAATTGTGGTAAAATACACAATGATACGGGATAAACAATTATTACGCGATTTTCCTCTTGTTTACGCCGGTCACCCGTGGGGAACACACAAAAAAAAAATTAGCTATGCGCCATCCTTTTGTGTAATTCAATACTAAAATTCACATCGTACAAGTTCGTGAAAAATCAGGGATTTTATTTTCCGTACTGAATTTTGTTTATTACACTTGCAACCGAGGCAGGGTACAATTGTAACACTCTTCGGGGTAAATGTAACGTTCATTAATATGACAAATTGAAGGAATATTTAAAATGTATATTTTGATAAATATGAAAAAGAATATATCATAATCTATTTATTGGCGATCCATAGGGAAATAAATATAACTTGTGGCGCACCTTTAACTTTTAACTTTTAGGGATACAGATTAATCGATAAATGTAAAATTCATCTATTTTACTTTCTGTTCTGTTTATACATTTTTCATGTGTTTGGGGCATGTTCTCGTGTTCAAGAAGTTCACTGGAAATAGATTTAATCGAATCTTTCCGTGGAATTGTACATGATCGGAGACAATTTGACGTGTTACAATTGGCCCCAATGTCTCTTCGCAAACGATTGATATGATTATAATTGCTTAGAGTCATTTTAAAAGTAAATGCATGAAACATATAACGAAAAACTCTATATGTCATTCAATGTTATGCCAGCAGTATGTTAAGCCTATATGTTATTCCTCCAAAACTTAGCATAAACTGAAATTATCGAACCCAGGAAAATATTACTCACATATGCCGTTTTGCCAGCAATGCCGACAACTAGGATACTCCTAATCTTATACAATGATAAATACTAGGATACAGGTCTAATAAAAATGAAATTATTGGAAGACATTCCTAGGATCAACGGAAATCTTCCACTGTTTCGATATGCTTTTCCAAGGTGATCGTCGCAGCATAAACGGAAGCAAAATCACGTGATAATCGTTTATGTCATATCATTTTGTATTTCACGCAATTATCTCTATTGAGCATTCCTTCCTGAGCTCTATATGTGAGGATTGCACCTGCATATTATACCGTTATTCTATACAATGCAAAATAATATAAAAGAACAATTGCATATTAATTTTGGAATAACGACGGAGATTAGTTAATCCATGATAAACCGCGAAGAATTTGCTAAAGATTATTTTAAAAAAGAAAATAACCATTTATTGCGGAAATTGACCTAGCAACCTTCACTTCAGTTTGCCATGTTTTAATATGGTCCATTGTAACATGCTTATGTAATTATTTTTAAAATCTGTATAAATAAGAATATTATATTATATACCAATGCACTTCGTTTATTACGCTTCTGTGATACCATAAGAGAGTAATACTCTTGCAGGTGTAAGTAATTGCGTGTTATACGTGCTTTAAAATATTTGTCACGGGGGAGTATTCACTCAGGAAATCATGGATTTTAAGGTGAAGTGGAACACGTCGAGGAACTTGATCGACGTCGGTAAAAATGTTTTTTCTAAATACCTATGTTACTGACATTTGCTTTTAAATTAACAGCCGTGTCGAATTAAATTGTGTATTGTACCAAATGGCATACCCCATGTGTCGTTTTCGGACAATCATTATAAAGAAATCGAAATAAAACGCCAGAAATCCTCTGGATTCATGGTTTCTGAGGTCCTAATTGACTGTAGAAGGACACTCTGCGCCATCTGTGATTTCCGTGTCAACTAAATTTTCACTCCGAGACCTCGTATTCCCATCATTTCGGCACAGCAGCGCATAAGACACTTTTTTCCCCTTTATCCCGTTCAAACACGAGATTCTCGATAATCAGAGTGTTCTAAATCATCGCCCAATAGTCCTGACCCTTTCGTTTCTCATATTAGAGCCTTCGGTAATTGGATATCGATCGAAATATGAGAGCTCGACGTCACTTTGGTTCCAGTCTGAGCTAAGATTAAAAGATTTCTCTCGAAAATCCAGATTTTCAAAGTGTCAGGATAATTCCTAGGTGCTGATGGGTCATGTATCAAAGCTTCAGGCGGCTCGATCCAATACCCTTAAAAAAAATGTTTTATTCCAATCGACTGCCCTGAGGGGGGGTTTCACTTCACCTTAAAGAAAAATGCATAAGATTCGTTAGAATTGTCCCGCGTTACATTTGACCCTGGTCTCCCCTGGAACGCTTCCATGGCTGTCGGAATATCCTGGAGTCGCCTAAACTTACGGTTTTCCGCCGGGGATGTTGCTCAGCCCGTTGCTCGAAGGCACCCGCACGTGGCTGTCGAATCCGAGCTGCAACAAAACGCAGGAACCTGTCACGTCGAATAACGCATCGCCGGCAGTACGTATTGGCTCGATAGCGCAAACGACCGGATAACCCAGATAAGGATGTCGTTGCACGTTACTTTTACTACGCTCGATACACCCTGGCCTCTCCCTCGCTGTTCGTGGCGAATCGGCGAAAGGAGACCGAGGGGGAGGGAATCGGCAGACCGTCGCGACGAAACTCCTACCGCGAGCTACTCGGTGTACAGTAGCGTACGATAATGTGGAATGGACTAGTAAACAAGGCAATCGGAGAAGCTACGGTATACCCTTGTCCTCGGTCTCGCGTCGTGGAAAAGAAGGAGGTACGTTACGTAGGGTTCTCCATCGTGTACAGTGGCGGTCATGAATGCCTTCCCTGTGAATATGGGGCTGCCGGGGCACAATGGAAAGGCATTCTTGTCGGCCAGTGTACTTGGAATGAAACGAGGTAAGCGAGCGCGTGAACGTCAAAGGGGCTTTGTATTAATGTTATCGGTTATTCGTATTCCACGACATTGCATCTAAGACGGCAATTATGTCGACTTTTCAAACAGGTCTTAATAAGATTGTAAATAAATTCCTGGTAGTGATCGTTCGATTCGTCCGAGGTGAATTGCCTTTCGTGTTATTAAATTAATTTCATTGAGGAGAAATTATGCCAATGATTGGGTTTGCTTGTCGTTGAATTGTATAAAATTCCTTCTTTCGTGGCTTCGACAGTTTCCTTGGGCTAATTTTGATAATTAATGATACGTAACAGTGACGATTGGCGGGCATGACGATATCATTTTTGAGTCCTATCTTTTAACCCTTATTATATGAATTATGTTGTAACTTTATGGGTAAAAAAAAAGAACCTTCCAAGCGCGAAGGAACGCAGGAGCGCCGCTTGATGAACGGCAAACAAGTTGCGCGACGCTCAAAGGGTTAATACATGGTCCCTTTTCATCCATAAGAAGAGTGCCAGGTGCTACTATCAAGACTGTGTATGCTTTGAACGTAAGTACGAAATTACCATAGAGCGTCCCGTAGAACAGGTCGTCGTAGAAAGCGAAAAACTGGGGTTCGTTTATGCAAAAAGACAGCTCAGGGATGTAAAAAAATGTGTTCAAACCTATTTAACATCCTTCTAATTGTCACCTGTTCTATGAATTTAATTCTATCATTTTATAAAGTAATTAAAGAATTAGATGAAAACTACTGACAGTATTACACCTATTTATATATATTTACAATTTAGTGTATTATTTTCTTCAAGTGAATCTAACGCGATTCAAAGAGGAATTAAGATCATCCCAGCCAGCGGTCGCAAAGGTGTAATTAAACGTCTTCATTCTATTTTAAGATATATGCCGGATGCTATCAAGCAAGATCATTCGTTCTTTGAACTTAAGGAAGAGATTACCACGGAGAATTTCGTCTAGGACAAGTTGTTTTAAGAGAGGGACTGGAACTCATCGCCGCGGAAAGACAAGTCCTAATAACCTAAGATATAAAAATAAAAAATATCTCTCCCCGTGTATTAAATTCTAACGTCATTCGATGAGGTAAAAAGAAACCTGTACGATTGAAAAGTACGAGAATAGTATCACATTTTTCTCCCACAAAATTTCGCGTATTGTCAAATCTCATGTGATTGAAAGCTATTACAGATTTAAAGAAGGTTAGCAATTGGTTGGTTGTCGAATGCGGTTCAATCAAAGTGAGTTAAAAAAAAAATAATTAAAAGCTATAGGAAATACTTGTTACGGGCCTGTTTTCTTTCATGTTTGAACGAGAATTTAAGATTAAAAATGTGTAAAAGTATTTTAAAATTTGTGGAGGCGGGAAATTCCTGATTTTTTTACTGTATTTGTGCTTCAAGGAGAATGGCAAGTGTGGAACAATAAGTTAAGGCACTTGCACTTTAATTGTTGGTATCTGTTGAACAAACATTTTTATAAAAAATGCATGCCATCGGTTCTTCAATCGTCTTTCATAGATTTTAAAATAATCTTAACTTTTTGTATCAGACCTGTCGCCCTCCTGGAATCGCGTACCACCATGAATAAAGAGTTAGACATTTCCACCTTTATATTTTAATCTCCATAAGCCTGCTGTATATTCTTTTAAACTCACATTGATTTAAACGTCATTCATTCTCAACTAATGCTTTTAAGATGATATAAAAGTGACGTCTGAGAGATCAATCGTTCATGAAACTTTTCTTCGAACTGGATTTACCGAATTGTTTGAAATTTTGTTCTATATTCATCTCGCGAATATGGGGACTCTAAAAAAGGACCAAACACTCATGTAATTTCGTTTTTTTTAAATAAAATTATTTAGAAACAAATGTAACCCTTTGAACACGGAGCCATTTCGACATATGGGCGAAATTCGTCTGACCGTGCAGGCAATATTGGACCAAATGTCGGGCGCCTTTAGGCGCTCTTAGTAGTTAAAGGGTTAAAAAACGAAATTTCATAGGTGTTACGACCTTCCGACATTTATATTCATAGAGACGTCTATTATACTCTACATTGGCAATTATACGAAATGCAGGATACTTAATGTGTCATTGAAGGAGAATGATTAGAAAAAGATTGAAGTAAACCGTCGAAATCTCTTGGATTCGTGATTTTCGATACTCTAACAGATCAGCGACGCCATTCGTTAGGTTTAGTTTCAACTAAATTTTCGCTCTAAGGGTGCGCGTCATTTACGGAACAAACCAGCATTCTCTTACAATTGTTCATGAAAGTATTTTCCATATTTTCTCTGATGCCGTAATATTCGATTAGCACGGTATTTTAACTTGTTCTAGCTACGTCTTGAAAGTGTTCATTGCTATTCTAAGCTCTAAAAAAAGCACAAAACAGCAAACATGTGCGTGGACGACGCCATATTGGTTCCAGTCCATGATAAATAGAAAAATTTATTATAAAAAATGAAATTTCACGGGTTTGAGGACCTACCTTAGGGCCTCCTTATTCACGTGGTAAAATGTGAAACGAGTTGGTATCCCCAACTCGGAGAAAACTTTCATAAACGATTTGTTCTCTCGGATGTCAGTTTCCCATCACCTTAACCCTTTGCAATCCCAATTATTGAGACGTCGATTGCCGATGTCGAGTCACACTCAACAAAGGAGTACAAATTAAGGGGATGTGAAAGTGGCGTCTCAAAGAGTCTCGGTTATGAAACTTTTCTTCGAACCGCGTGTACCGAATCGTATCACACTTAACAATGCGAATATGGAGGCTATGAGGAAGGTCCTAACACCCATGAAATTTCTATTTTTAAAAAATTTGTTCATAGATGATTGAAATTTGTTATAAAAAATGACATTCCAAGAGTTTCGGGACCTACATTAGGGCTTTCATGTTTACGTTATAAAGTTTGAAACGACTCGGTTACCCCTAGTTCGTATAAAAGTTTCATGAACGATTAACCTTTCGTATGCCACTTTCGCATCCCCTTAAGCCTCGGCTACGAGGAAGGTCCTGACACCCATGAAATTTGTTATAAAAAATGAAATTCCATGACTTTCGGGATCTACATTAGGGCTTTAATATTCACGTTATGGAGTTTGAAACGACTCGGTACCCCTAGTTCGTATAAAAGTTCCACGAACGATTAACCTTTCGTATACCGCTTTCGCATCCCCTTAAGCCTCGGCTACCGATTAAGAAGGCATAATTAAATGTCCACATTCGATGTCAAGACATGTGCTACCATCGGACGAAGGTCGTCCGTGCTTCGAAGGTAAGGAAGAAATTACCATGGAGGACCTCGCATAGGACAAGTTGTTGTAGGAGGAGGGGGACTGGGGCTCATTGCCGCGGGAGGGCAAGCCCTGATAGCCCTGAGGAGGAGTTTGCTGCGATGATGGCGGATGATAGGCCCGGGATGCCAAGGGCCCAGGGATGCCCCCCATAGTTGGAGTACAGCTGCGCGATCCCCTCGCCACCGCCACAGGCGTACCCGGCTTGTCGACCTGGAATAGGAAGCGCATCGATCAGCGAGGATCGATCCCCGACGAGATTCCCTCGTCTCCCGCGCGCCCCACCCTCGAGGAGACCGGATTTCTCTCCCTGAGAGATCCACCGATCCGACTCGATCCTTCGATCCCGCGATCCTTCGTTTCAAGGATGAACGACCACTCGAAACGAGAACTCCAGCCGAGGGTGAGAGTGCGTGGACTCGTGCGAGGACGGCGACCGTGTGTCGCGACCTACGAGGACGACCAAACCTCTCTGGACCGAAGCTCGTACCTTCTTTATGAAGCAATTTATCCCAGGTGGCTTGTTTCAATGAGAATTAACCCTTTCGGTTAGAAAGTTCCCGGTATCGTGGATTGTCTACCCGCCGATCCAAATTTTCAGAAGCGACAGAAAGTAGGCATTTTAAGGGGATGTGAAAGTGGCATCCGAAAGCTCAATCGTTCATAAAACTTTTCATAGAACTGGGTGTCTCCAATCGTTTCATAATTTAAAACGTGAATACGGAGACCTAAGATAGGTCCTGAAACTCGCGAGACTATTTTTAAAATACCTGTAAATAAATTTGAAAAGAATTGAAATTTCATGAGTTTCAGGACCTTCCTTATAGTCTCCCTATTCACGTTGTGAAGTTTCAAACTATTCGGTAAATCGAGTTGGGAGAAAAGTTTTATGAACAAAACCTCTTTGACGCCACTTTCACATCACCTTAAATAGGACGCGGATAAGGCGGTAATAAAGATGGCTAGAGGAGTTACGAGAAATCGTAGCGATTTGTTGTTTCGGCGGTTAAATTGAGTTCTTGTGTGGTGTACACGCGCACAGGTTTTTATACATAAACCTAGATTGCTAACAGTTGCTGGATGGACTGGAGAAAAATGTGCTAGGGATTCCTTTCGCTTTACCTCGTTTAGGGTTCCACTAGTTACCGTTTGGCGGCGCTGACGCGTACATCTTATAGGGATATTTTAATTCAGTCGCGCTTCCCCCGATGGTAGGATGGAGAGACCACGGATGCAAGATTCTGTACGTCATATCGACAGCTGTCGATATCGTTAACCTATTGAAAGAATACGGTTAACGATATCGAGAGCTTCGGAATTGGCGGACAGAATCCTGCTACGAGCCGGTCGAAACACCCCAGGCCTGTTTTTTTTTTTCAATTCTCGAGAATTTAATTTCGAGTCATATAACCGAGAATGTTACGCAACTTAAAGATCCCTAGAGAATTTAAAAGAATTTAAGAGAATTCTGAGAATTTGTATGTAAATTAATTTACTACTTTTAATTGGTAATATTCATATAGTCAAGGTACTTATTACCCGAAAATAGTGTCCCATTAATTTGTGATTCCTTTCTCGCTTGCAATGATTTTCTATCTCCGCAGTTTATCTTACCACTCTTATTAATCTCAAGATGCAGAATAGGTTAGCAAGTTTGATTAATCGATTAACTGCGTGTAAATTATTGGAAGTTCAGGAATTCTGATATTAAAAGTTTATTTTTACAATTTAATGTACAACACTGGTGTGGCATTTTTTTTTGTATTTAATTCCTGAATACAATATATGTTACGTGCGATTGTGTGACATATGCACTTCCGTGATTTTGACTGACGCGTCAAATTGCAAACTACCCTGCTCTCTTGCGGCTGTAAAAGGAACCGAAACGCGGTAAACCGGAAGAGCCTTGAACACGTGTCAACTCCCACTGACAGCAATCTAGGGTTATGTATAGCAATCTAGGGTTAAGTATAGAAATCTAGGGTTATGTATAGAAACCTGTGTCCTCGCGTCATCCATGAGTCCGTTAAAGCCGTACGGATAAGTTTGCACATTTTTATCGCGACGATTTATCGTTACGTGTGTCTAATACGAGAAAAGAAATTTCATTGAAAAGAGGGAATAAAGATTTGCATAATTAATTCAACCCGGTAATTTTTCAATCGTGTTTGAGTTACGGTGGCGTTGAAGGAGCTTAGAGGAGAAGATGTCTCTTTCCTCTGGACAAATTCCAAAAGTCAACCACTTAATTGAGCGAATAAATTAAATGGAATTTAACTCATTACATTCCCTAAAAGAGGTCATAAGATGAGCGACTAGACGTGCACACTGCGTACTCCCGGAAACTTCAGAAATAGAGGAAGCCATCTTTCTTCGTCCTTCCTTGAATATTTATTCTATTGTTTACGCGATGGCCGCCGTTCCTGGGCGAATTGTGCGTGCCAGAGTCGTTAAAGGAAGTTAACTACACATTGAGACAAATGTTTAATGCACTGCTCATAAAAAACGGCAACACGCCCCAATCAGTTGTACATAACCGATGACCATATACGTTGTTTAGTCTAACAAAAGGAAACTATTATAGGGTCTCGATGATGACAAGTACTTCTTAGACTAAAATTAAATTACTACCTTTTAACGTTATCCTAAGCAATACGTGTCAGGGTATAATGGGCACGATTTTTATTTACAGGTGTTGCGATTTTTTGACGAGCAGGGTATTGTATTAGGTTGGTGCACAATAGGAAAACTAGTTACAAAAAAACGCACAAACTTGTGCACCAATCCAATATTATCTTCTGAAAATATCCGGTCTCTCCGATCCAAACTCCTTCAGATATTTTGCGCGGGTACCAAAGTAAAGATTTCCGGCTTTTCCCAAGTATTCTCTTTTAGGACCAAAACGCTCGGTCTTACAAGGAAGGTACCTGAGGTGCCCCCTCCGATTTTGTTAATTTTTAAATATGTTATAGAGGACTAAAATCTAAGGGACCCGTGTTTTTTTTATCGGCGGATAAACACTTTTAGGGGGTGAAATCAGGCTTCAAAGTTGGCCGTGCAAGGGGGTGAGTTGGCTGTTTCATATAGAGGCACTCGACCGATTTTCATGAAACAACCGTCAATATGTAGAGAATGAAGAGTTATGAAACGTGCATTTGGAATTTTTCGAAAAAATTCATTTTTAAGGGGTGAGCCACCCCTTTGAATACTTCTTTTACCCCTTACGCGAGCAGTAATAGTTCTATCCTAATGAAACTTTTTTTGTATTGTTCTGGTCTATAAATTAACCAAGTTTCATTTGGATAGAGCAATTACTGCTCGCGTAAGGAGTAAAAGAAGTATTCAAAGGGGTGGCTCACCCCTTAAAAATGAATTTTTTCGAAAAATTCCAAATGCATGTTTCATAATTCTTCATTCCCTACATATTGACGGTTGTTTCATGAAAATCGGTCGGGTGCCTCTATATGAAACAGCCTACTCACCCCCTTGCACGGCCAACTTTGAAGCCTGATTTCACTCCCTAAAAGTGTTTATCCGCCGATAAAAAAAAACACGGGTCCCTTAGATTTTAGTCCTCTATAACATATTTAAAAATGAACAAAATCGGAGGGGAACACCTCAGGTACCTTCCTTGTTAGACGTTGCAACGCACATTTATATCCCTACCATTTAATTCAATTTAACCCTTAATTGATATCGTATTTCCACGTTAGCGTAAAAATGCGGGAATTAGGGGGGGCAACAGCCCCACGATAATTATTAAGGGTTAATTAAAATACGTAATTATAGGTATAAAATAAAAAGAAGCCCAGATAGTCTAACGAAAGGGAATCTAGATAAAGTATACAGGAAATCGACGTGATCCAATTAATGGAACAGGCAGGGGAAGAGTCGATAAAGCTTCGGTCGGTGGATTCGGTCCCCTCGTACCCCCGCGACACGCTCTTCGTCGCGGTTTCCGGCAGAGAGCTTCCGGAATTGACTTTCGCGTCAACCCGCGAAAGGTGACCGCCAAATCGTTCGGTGAGCTTGCTCTTAGCAAGATCTTACATCTTTACTTTTCAGAGAGGGCGTGCTTCGAGCCGAAGAGCTTCCGCTTCGCGAGGGGGGCCTGTCCTTAACGGAGGTCGGACCGGAAGCGGAGGAGGGCCCGCCGCCGTGGCCGGGAGCGCCGAGCTTCTCCAAGGTGCCGTTTTCACGGGGATCCGAGTGCTCGCCGTTGGCGTGGGGGGATGCCGGCTCCTTTTGCGGGACATCAAAAAGCGTCTCGATTTAGCTCCTGACTAACCTCTTTTCGCTCGCCGATCCCGATGACGTGCCGCCGAATTAGCCGAACAGCGCTCGGATTTTCATTCAACTTCATTTGCCGATAACGCTCGCCGAGGATGGATTCCTTGTAGCTACCTTCGAGCTTCGTTCCACGAGGAATCTTACTTTTCAAGTGAATCTTCGCCTGGGACGGTAGTAGGCGTAGGGTCCGCTTACAAAAGTGGAGTGCTTTTCTTTTGTCAACAGCAAATCACTATTTACGAACGCTTGGTAACTCTGTATTGGCAGAATTTATGTAAACGTTTTCGTTAGCTTTCGCCCCTTATTATCTCAGTTAACACGTTAAGTGCCACGCCAGTACCTAGGGACTGGCCACAGATTTTAGGTTCATGTTAAAGCATCGCGCGGATCTGCGCTCGCATCTCGATTGCGAGACTAAAGATTTCTCGCTTAGGGGACACCGGTTTTTGTTCAGTCAATGCCTCTTAAGGGGATGTGAAAGTGGCATCCGAAAGCTCAATCGTTCATAAAACTTTTCGCCGAACTGGGTGTCTCTAATAGTTTCATACTTTGGAACGTGAATATGGAGACTCTAAGGTAGGTCCTGAAACTCGCGAGACTATTTTTAAGATACCAATAAAGAAATTTGAAAAGAATTGAAATTTCATGAGTTTCAGGACCTTCCTTATAGTCTACCTATTCACGTTGTAAAGTTTCAAATTATTCGGTAAACCGAATTGGGAGAAACGTTTTATAAACAAAACCTCTTCGACGCCACTTTCACATCACCTTTAGAGGAAGAATATAATATGGAAAAGTCAATGTAATTTATTGAAACGGGGTAAACAAAGGTGTGGATTTTTTTACATTCGTTAAAGATTCTGCTAACTTTTTGTATTGAATTTTTGTACCTAACATTTGAGAATTACTTTTGTAACTTTCGGTGCAGTATCTCCTAATTTTTGAATTTTTGTACCTAACATTTGAGAATTACTTTTGTAACTTTCGGTGCAGTATCTCCTAATTTTATGCGCCCTGCCTTCCTGTTTCATTAAATGATGCCCGAGGTCTTGTACTGCTGACGGTTTCTTTTTCCTTGCTCTGTGTAAGGGCCTCAAGCCGATATTTCGGCGAACTAACCGCGGTTCCTACACTTCTATTTATTCTCCGGTTTGCCCCTCGGTGGAAGCTCACTTGACGCCCGATTCTGGGCCTGAACAGAACGGCAAGCAAAACGGGCTGGGCACTTAACGTGTTAATTAAGGTGAAGTTAAACCCCCTTCAAATCAGTCGATTCGAATACAACACTTTTTTTTTAAGGGTATTGGGCCAAACTGCCCGAAACTTTGACATATCACTCGTGATTATCTAAGAATTGTCCTGATACATTCAAAATTTGGATCTTTGAAAAAAATCTTTTAACTTAACCCAGACCAGAATCAAAATGGCGTCGAGCTCTCATATTTCGATCAATATACAATTATCGAAGGCTCTGATATGAGAAACGAAAGGGTCAGGACAATTGTACGACAATTTAGAACACTCTGGTAATCGATAAACTCGCATTTGAACGAGATAAAGGCAAAAAAAGTGTTGTATGCGCTTCTGTGCTAAAACGATGAGAATACGAGGTCTCGGAGTGAAAATTTAATTGACCTGGAAATCACAGATGGCGCAGGGGGTCCCTTCTGCAGTCTACTAGGGCCCCAGAAAGCATGAATCAAGAGGATTACGGAGTTTTACTTCGATTTCTTTATAACTATTATACGAAAACGACAGGTGGAGTATGCCATTTAGTGCAATACCCAATATAATTCGACACAGCTGTCAATATAAAAACAAACGTCGCAGCGTAGCTATTTAGAAGAATCTTCTTTATCGACGTCGATAAAGTTCCTCAACGTGTTTCACTTCACCTTAATGACATTTAAGATGAGAAAAAAGGCGGTACTAATAAAGAATAAAAATAATTATGCCCAACACACCCAGTACCATGCGCGTAAGAACTTTTCGAAAAAGAATAACTAAGAATGAGCAGTAATATCTAATAATTTTGTAACTTATGATCAGATGTTTCACTGTTAATGCGTGTGGCGGTCACGCATCGTTTTTTCCCTCTTCTTATTATGAAGATATATTATGTTGCGTATGTTGATTGTGTAAAGGAAAATTGTGGTTATACTTCAAAATTGAACAGTAGTCTGTAAAAGGCTCATAGTCTTAGACTCTTGCCGTGGAAACATAAAGGAGATTTTTCTGACTTAAGATGAAGTGAAACTCGTAGAAAAATTTGATCGACATCGGTAAAAAAATATTCGTTTAAATACCCACGCTCCTGGCGTTCGTATTTATAGCGAAAGCTGTGTCAAATTATGTTCGATATTGTATTAAATGACACTTCAAATGTCATTTCCGTACAATAATTATAAAGAAATTGAAGTAAGACTCCAGAAATCCCCTCGATTCATGGTTTTTAATGTCCTAACTGACTCCAAGGTGCCACCTTGCGCCATCTGTGATTTCAGTGCCAACTAAATTTTTTCCGGAACCTCGCGTTTTGGCATTGCAGCGCATATGACACTTTTTTTTGCCTTTATACCGTTCAAATGCAAGTTTCTCGATCATTAGAGTGTTTTAAATTGTTATACAATTGTCTTGACACTATCGTGTCTCATATTGGAGCCTTCAATAGTTGTACATTGATCGAAATATGAAAGCTCGACGTTAATTTGGTTCTGGTCCAGGCTGTCAAACATTTCTTTTCTCCCAAAATCCAAATTTTGAAAGTGTCAGGATAATTCTTGTATGTCACAAGTCACGTGTCAAAGTTTCAGACAGTTCGATCCAATACCCTTACAAAAAAGTATCTTATTCAAATCGACTGATGTGAGGGGGGGCTTCACTTCATCTTAAGGATTGATTATTTTTCGAATTTGAAAACAGGAAAGAAGATTCAATGAAATCAACGAAACCTGTCACATTTGACTGTCACGAAACTCCTTTTTTTCAAGAAATATTACTTAATGCAGGTAAATTTTACTCAATTAAACCGCAATCTAATGGTATTTTATTAACATAATATATTTACTTCAAAAAATCGTCATCACCAGTTGACATCTATTAAACCAACCCTATATTTGCAATTCTTAACAAAACACAGGAGAGATGTCACTTAATTATTTAAGCAAAGCTTCATAAGATTTTAATCAATTAACTAAAGTTTACGCGAAAATGAAGTAACGACTGAAATAGGATTTCTACCACCGTCGGGAATATTCAAATTCTTTCCTTGTAATAACTTTGCTGCCGAAGAGTGACTAAATAAACATACAAAACTCTCTTTTGACTTCTACGACCATTATTAATTTTATATCCATGTTAAGAAGCGGGCCAGGAGTTCATTTTACTGCTGTGACACTTTAACGTCATATGTTAAGTAATTATGCAATTCCTTTTATGACCGCTGGTTAATCAGGTTTCTGGCTATTAGGCGGCACGTCTTTGACGGTAATTCGAGGATATAAGATCGTAGGACTCGATCAAGCCCTACGATAGGAAAGAAATACGACTCCGTTAACCGCTCGTTTCCCGTAACTTCGTGCTCGAACCGTGAGATCGGCGATCGAGCGATTCCCGCTTCCTTACCTCGTTCGCCACGTCGACGACCAGATCTTGATCGCTCTTCTCTCCATCGCTGTCCTGGAAAAAGAAACGAAAAACGGGACCATTAGCGAGGGTATTAGGCTGCATATCTCGCGTTTCTATTGCCCACTTTGTCCCGGACGGTAATGATATAATTTGCATGTTCTCCAGTTGCCGTTACCGAAGGGACCGCGATTTGACTCTAGTTCCACTTAAGGGGTTACACCACTTTGACCCACCCAAAAATTACGGTTTTTCAAGAATTTTTTTTTAACAATTAAAACGTTTTTATCCAAATTAAAGTACAGTAAGATATTATACTACTATTAAACGATACAATTTTTTTTGTTTTTTTTTTTTATTTGCAAAAATGGCGGAGCGCTAAAGGTTAATATGGTCATTTCTGAATTAGGACGAATATTTGCAAACTATGGAAATCATTTTAAAAAGCGATCGTTTTCAGGTCGACTGAGCGAGTGGGTGACCAAAAATTTACGTACTTGTGTTCTCGGACATTACTTGTTTTCAATGATAGTTGACAAAAAGTATCGGAGGTGTCACGGGCAAAAGATCATTTTGACGAGAGTGAAGTTCTCTGAACGGGCGGAGTGCAAAGGGTTAATATGTTCGTTTCTGAATTAGGACGAATATTGGCAAACAATGGAAATCATTTTAAAAAGCATTCGTTTTCAGGTCGACTGAGCGAGTGGGTGACCAAAAATTTACGTACTTGTTTTCTCTTACATTACATGTTTTCAATGATAGTTGACAAAAAGTATCGGAAATGTCACGGGCAAAAGATCATTTTGACGAGAGTGAAGTCGTCCAAATGGACCGAGGGCCTTCGAGCCTCCTTTACGCCCTTGATATACGATATATCAATTGGAAAAAGTCATAAGGCTGAGTACCGATTTAAGCATATTCCCGGGCGATGCTTTAACACGTTCCGTGCCACGCCGTGTACCACCCAATGTTAACGCGTATTATCGGTGGTACACGTGGCACGAAACGTGTTAACGCTCCCCTCCTCGACTTCTAACTAGTAAATGACAACGAAAGAAATCCTTTCCTTCCACGTTCACTCGTTGCGGTAACCTCAATCAATTAATACCGCGCACGATTCAATTCTTCCGTTACCTAGTTTTAAATAATCCTCGGCATAAATCTCGAGAAATAACATAAAACGATTACGCGATTAAGCTTCCACGACGGCGTAAGCTTTGACGAAGCTGTAGAATCTCCTTCCAGCCTATAAAATAACACGTTAAGACAGAAGCGTAGCTTCACGCCAGAAAAGCAAAATGTCCCCGGCCTCGACGATACACAATAAAGATATCCTCGCAATCATTGGCGTTAACTCCTCGAGGAACATTAAGCGCAGCTTCGAAAGTGCCCGACTTAACGTCAATCGGAAATTTTACAGCCCCAACAAAGGCGCGGGGCGACGTATCGAGGATCTACAGGCAAAAGGACTAAATCAATCGCGTTAATCGGCACATTAAAATGCAACCCATTACGTATACACAAGCATAAGCCCTTGCATAATCGCGGCGTCCTGGCTCGACAGGAGGAGGCGCCCCCCCCCCCCCAGCAACGGTGGGGTAGCCGGAGATTAGAGGTTATGTGCGCGAGACACGCAATAAATGTGTATACGAACGA